AAAAACCACATTTACCCCAATTGTCCGGCAATGTGCTGTATGCACAGGAGTGCGGGGGGGGGAGGGGGGTTCGCGGGACAAATCTGAGTCCTTTGAGCAAAGGCTCCGAAAACCACGTTTGCAAAATCCCCCAGTTGTTCTAACATTTTCCTGCCCACCCCTGGGGCACAAACTCTGGCTCTGCTCTGACACCCCAAACCGCTCCCAGTCGCTGGGGATTTAGCTCCGCTCTGCACGGTGCCGGGGGCCCCTCTGGGGACGGGATATTCCCAAAGCCGTTCAGGGGACGTTCCGAACGCCAGGCCGGGCTGAGCCTGACCCACGAGCAAAGCAGTGACGCGCACGTGTGCAGCAAGCCGAGGGTGAGACACAACGGTGCCTTGCTCCAGTCCCTCTGCGTGTCCACGTCTTACAGCCCTGCTCTGCCTGACCCGTTCCCCGGGCTCCCGCCAGCTCCCCAGGTACAGTGCGGGGGCACTAGGCGGCAGAGCTTTGAGTGCAGGTGAATTCACCCTGTGTGGTGCCCATCCCTGTAATGAGTGGGGAGAGGTCTCAGTCCCCACCTCTGGGTGTGGGAGGGAGCAGAGGTCTGACAGGATCATCCCTTTGGGGGATCTGCACCTCCCCCACCCCCCACCCACATCCCTCGTCCTTAATGTGGAAATTCCCCCAACACCCCATTCCCTACAGTTACTCACCTCCTGACACCCTGCTCCGCCCGGCCAGCCAGGAGCCTGAAAAGGAGATGGGTCATTAGGGATCAGATCCCAGAGCAGCTGAATCCTACACACTGGTCTCAGATCCCCCCCTGCCCCATGGACACACGCCCTGGTCTCATATCCCCCCTTATGGGCAAACACCCTGGCTGTCTCCGATACTCACCAAGGAGGAGGACAGTGAGAGCAGACGCCATGATGGGACAGTGGGGGGCCCCTCAGCGCTGCCACCAACACCCTAGAGTCCAGCTCCACCGAGTCTGAGGCCCAGGTGCAAGTGGAATGAAGAAGAACTGCGCTGGGGGCTACAGCCTCAGGAAGCCCGTGATGCGCTTGGCCCCTTTCCGCCCCATCAGATGGTTTCTCTGCAATCTCCAGCCCAAATCTACCGTGCTCAGAGCAAAGCCAGATCCCTGCAACGCCCAGCAAACCACATCCCCTCCTGCAGCTGCCTGGTCTCCCCACCCTCCATCACCTCCCAGCCCCACATGGGAGCTGCCCAGTTCAGGGATCAGCTGGGAACAGGGGGAATCTCAGGAGGCATCAAGAGGTGCCCAGGCTCAGGCTGCCCTGACCTTTTCCAACAGGCCCGTCTAGCCTCCCTGGAGCAGCAGCTCAGAGCAGAGGAGGGCTCCCCCCACCCACACACACACACACAGTGCCCCCCACGGAGCGACCCTCTCCAATGGAGCAGGGCAGAGGTTCCTTCCTGACCCGGCTGGGCCCAGCGCCTGCCCTGGAGCATGAGGGTGGCGGGGCCTAGACAACCCCCTTCTCAGGTCGTATCACTGCAGAATCTATGCTTAGCCAAGTGATGTGCCACAGAGACAGAACGGGGGGCTGGGAGGGGTTGTGGTTTCCGGCCCCTGTGAGGGGGTGACGTAGGGGTAAATTTAGATCCAGAATTGTTAAATCAACAGCCGTTAAATCCGCGAAAGGGGAAGCCTGCCCAGAGCCGGCGCTCGCTTCCTGTTTCTGCTACTGCCAGTGAAACTCTGTGTAAACCTGATGCCCGGCACCTACCCTGTTATATACCCCAGTTAATGGAGGGGAATGGGGTCTAGTGATTGGGGGGGAGGGGCTGGGAACCAGGACTCCTGGGTTTTCTCCTTGGCTCTGTTTGGGGGGTGGGGTCTGGTGCTTAGAGAAAAGGACACAGATCAGAGCCAGCCCCCTAGAGATGAAAGGCCCCGTGTCCCTAGGGAGACCAGATGTCCCGATTTTATAGGGACAGTCCCGATATTTGGGGCTTGTTCTTATATAGGCTTCTATTACCCCCCAACCCCGTCCCGATTTTTCACACTTGCTGTCTGGTCACCCTACGTGTCCCTTCCCCAGCCCATCCCCGGGGCAGTGGGTCTGAGCAGCTCAGGGCCCTGGGCAGAGCTCACAGGGGCCGACGGCTGAGCCAAGCTTCCCTCTCCGACCCCAGGATGTTGCGAAAGGTACATGGGGGGAGGGGGGAGCAGACCAGCCCCCCAGACAGGGGATGGGACAAGATCACAGGGACAGAGCTCGAGAGAAACTGCCCCCCCCCTCCGGCAGATGCCCCAGCTCTGTCTCCCCAGCTCATTTGCCCTTTGTGATGAAGTGGGGGGGAGGGTTCTTGTTTTCTGTGGGGTTTCAATGGTTTGCATGTGGAGGGGGTGGGACTCAGTTTCCCTGGGTGTTACTAGTTCACGAGGTGAGGGGAGAGGGAGTGTGTTTTGCAGAGGACCGGAGAGAGGACGTGGGGACCCAGCCGATGGCCTGGAGGATGGATACCCCAGCGACCGGTGACCTGGTGACCCGGAGGCCCAGCTGAGGAGATGCAGCCGGTTCTGGCCAGTGGGAGGACAATGGGCTGCAGAGTGAGGACCCAGTGACATAACCAGCCGGTTCCAGCCAGAGGACAGAAGCGAGGAGAGGAGGCCCCGGTTTACGACCCTGTTTACCTGGAGAGAACAATGGACAGAGGCCGGGCTTGGGGCCGGTGATCTCAGATGCCCAGCTGGGAGCAGGAGGGCTCTGGGCTGGAGAGGGGGAGCAGGCAGAGCCCACCTGGATGCAGAGAGACTGGGATGTGCTGGGCTGAGGGAGGCCAGGCCTGAGGCCGGAGAGTTTCCTGTGCTGGGTTCAACGCTCAATAAACCCTCCTGTGTTACGCTGGCTGAGAGTCACTCCGGTCTAGAGAACAGGGTGGCATGAACCCCTTCGGGGGGTGGAGGCCCCGGGGGATCCAGAGCGAGCGGACTCCCTGGGGGGGCCCACGGCGAGAGACAGACGTGCTAAGGCTCAGAGAGGTGCGGCTCCAGGAGGTGGAGGGGCCTAACCCCGAGAGAGAGTGGACCCCCAAGAAGGGCTGTCTCACTGAAAGGGGCACCCCCCGCAGCCCGCACAGGGCCAAGAGTGGGCACGATCTGTGTGTTCGTGTCATCCTTCACCCCCCACCCATTGGGCCCCTCAGCCCCCGAATCTTCCCCTTGGCCTGTGTCCCCTCCCCCATTCATATCCTCCCACCCCCATCCCATGTCCCCTCAAGTCTCTGGCTGTCCCCCCAAGTTCTGTTCCCCCAGCATGTAGTTCCCTCACGTCCCCCCATCAGGTCCCCACCCTCCTAGAGCTGCCCCATCCCGTGTCCCTTCACCCCCCGTTGTGCCCCCCACATCCCGTCCCCTGTTCTGCCCCCCGTCCTCTGTCCCCTGACATCCCCAACCTCCCCGTTGTAGGGAAGGGACCCCTGTCTGCCCTCAGTGAACATGGCTGCCCCCTGCAGCCCTCGCTGACCCCTGGCTAAGATGGCCGACATCTCAGCCTGGGGGTGGGAACAATCCTGGCCCACCCTGGACTGTCGGAGTGGGGTGATGGCTTCATGGGAACGAGCCCCCCGGCATCTCTGACCCTCAGCCTGTGCCCCCCCAACTCGCAGGCGGTTAAATCACACTACGCCCTGTTGTGTTCATGGAGACGCAATAAAGGCCCCAAGGTGCAAACACACCCCAGCCCCTGCCCCACACTGAACAGGGTTAAACACGGGCCGGGGGCGGGGTCCAGAGCCTGCAGTGTCCCCACACACAGGGGCCAGGGGCTCTGTCTTGGGGCGCTGTGGGGGCTGCGATTCTGCGGGATGTGGGGGGCCAGCTCGGGGCTGGGCGATGAGGCCTGGTGGTCCTGGGGGATTTAACTACCCAGCCGCCATTTGGGAAAGCGCTAGGGCCAAACACACCCAGCCCAGTGCGTCAGTGCGACCCTGGATGGATCGGGCATGACAGTGGGTCTCCGAGGGGGAGGCCGTAACTGGGGGCGGCCAGTTTAGACTGGCTGTAAAGGGACAGGTGGCAGGCGGGTGGGGTGACCGTGGCTGTGAAATGCCGGGTGCCCGGCCCTAAGGAAAGGGAGCAGAGCAGGTGGCACTGGGAATCCGGCCAGGAAGGGGTTAGTTATCGAGTGCCAGGGCCGCCCAGGGGGCGGGGTGGCAAGTGGGGCAATTTGCCCCAGGCCCCGGGCCCCACAGGGGCCCCCACAAGTATTCTATAGTATTGCAAAAAAATTTAATGGAAGGGGCCCCCGAAATTGCTTTGCCCCAGGCCCCCTGAATCCTCTGGGCGGCCCTATCGCGTGCCCGGCCCCCCCAGTGCCCCGGGTGTAAGGGTAATGCCTCCGTCTGCAGCCAGAGAAGCAGGAAGTCACATCCTCACATTCCATCTACATGACATTAAAACGATGTCATATCAGGCTGCTAAGAAGGAGACCCCGTCCTAATGGCCCCCACTATCACCAGATAGAGAAACAGATCTTGAGATGGTCAAAGAAAGCTTAGTTTGACAGCATCCTGTCTGGCAAGAAATCACTTCTCAACTGTTGTGGTTGTGAAACCCTCATTTCTTTATTGTTTTGTCATTATGGTCCCCACTTCCCTATTGTTTGTCTGTCTGGTCTCTGTCTGGGTCTTTAATTGTTTCTGTCTCTGACATAATTAATTTTGCCAGGTGTAAATTAATTAAGGTGGTGGGGTAGGATTGGTTAGAGAATTTTGTAACACTATGTTTGGATTGGTTAGTAAAATTTCAGTATAACGATTGCTTAAGGGACAGCTAAACTGGACTCAAATTTCACTCTATAAACTGGGGTCCCAAAGGAAGTTTTTTAGGAACCAATTCCAGGACACAGCCCCAGAGATCAGAGCTGCCGGACCTCAACGCTCTGCCAGTGACACCGGGCAGCAACTAGAGTGCCCCAGATGGACCTGATCCTGACTGGCCATCAAGAAAAGTTCGTCTGTCTTACTGGGAGCGGTGAGCACTGTCTGTGTAGCGAGTGCCGTCTGGTTTTGGTGATTGTTAATAAATAGAGGTTATGTAGGATATGACTGTGTAAGCCTCATTCACTGGTAAAAGGTCCTGCACACCTGCAGAAGCAGTATACACCCGGAGCCCTGTGTATTGGGAAAGGGTGTGGGCACTTTAATTGACCAGGTTAGTTACGAATTGGGTAGGAGTGGGTCTGAGCCCTACGAATTGGGTACGGGTAGGTGCTTTTCGCCTGGAGCCCTAGGGACTGGGAAAAGGTGGGGTGCCCTTGTGTGCAGGTAACACGGGCTCCCCACAGACACAGGTGGCGCCCTCCTGATGCCAGCCCTGCTACAGCCCTGCTCCCCTCTGACAGCCCTGGGCACAGACCGGCCTGGCTGGACCAGTGAGGGGGACCCCGGCGCCCTCCAGGGGCTATTCTGTGGGGAGCCCGACGCGCCCAGCGCAGAAGCAGCATCTTCAGCTGGCTTCACGAGGGGCTGATGCCCGTGGGGCCAGAGATGCAATTCTGGGTTGCAGCTGTGAGGTCGGGAGCCGTCTGGGGGTGGTTTCTCCAAGACAGGGGTGTTTGGCGGCAGGCAGAGTTTGTGCCAGCGTCTCAGCCCCCTGAGGGGAAGCGGCTCGTCCCCCGGGGAGATTCTCTTCTCTGCACGGCCGGATCCAGGCTCCTGGGGGTGCAGAGAGATGGCAGGTTAGAGGGGCCCGTGTCACCCAGAGCCCAGCCCCTGGGGGGAGCAAGGGGCACAGAAGGGGGGGGTCACCTCACCTAGGGCGCCCCCCTCGAGCGGCTGTAATAGGCCTCGGCCAGGATCAACGCCAGGATGAGCAGGACCGCGGTGCTCAGCCCCAGGCAGGCGATGTTGGCGTGGGGGGCTGCTGCGGGGGGAAGGGGAGAGTCACTCGGCGGCTCGGACAGGGAGATCGGCAGCTGGCGCTGCCCCGGGAGTGGAGCCACCAACCCCCACCCCGTCCGGCAGGTCTGGCCCATTTAGGGAAGGCTGCATCTTGCTGCCCTGGGGGAATTAAGCCTCAGCTTCCCCGGTGAAGAGGGCGCCCAGGTGGGTGAACTGCCCCCCAAGCCACCCAGCACCCCACGGCCAGGCCAGGGGATCATGACAGTCAGAGCCACAGGGTCCCAGCCCCCCCAGAACAGGGAACCACCCCAGCTCCCTGTCCCCATAGGATCCCTCTGTCCACCCCCACAGGTGCCTCTGCCCCGGGCTGTCTGCTGCACAGTGAGCCCATCCCCGGGGTATTTCGGCTGCTGCCAAACACAGCCAGGCAGTGCGCATGGGGGGGGAGGCTGGTACATTACCCGCTGCCCCCCCACACACCTCCGCGGTGCCCAGGGAGCAGCCAGAGGCAACAGAACATCTATGGGGGGTGGGTCGGGGGTCATCTGAGAACCTAGTCGGGGGAGGGCAAACAAGAGCAGAGGGAATTCTGGGTAATGGTCACCACTATTGCTGGGGGAGATCATGGGGCCCAGGGAGGGGGCTTATTGCCCCAGCCCCTCTGCACCCAGCAGGGCCCAGCTCCCCCAAACCCTGTCCCTGCCCTGGGATCCCCCCACAGCTCCCAGGCAGCGACCTGCAGGGCAGGAGGCATCCAGGGATCTGGGGGCCTGGCAGTGGGGCTGTTTCTCCTTCCCCCCCCCCCATGTCAATGAGCCCCTCCCTGTGGTGTCTGGGCCCCACCCACCCAGATTCACTGCCCCCCGTCATCCCCCCAAACCAGCCCCTGCTAAGTCGGTTCCCTCTGTGGGATTAAAACGAGCATCGCCTGGGACGGGGGAGGGACGAAACCGAGCACCCAGGCCCGGGGGGGGTGGGGAATGGGGGGTAGGAAGGGGCTGAATCAGTGACTCAGCGATTGGGCCGCTCGCCCCACGACCTGGCGTTTGTTACGGCTTTAACTGTCCGGGCTGGTGGGGAGCGAATTCAGCGCTGGGGCCGGGGCCGGCTGGGCAGCCCCTGGGCCCCGACTCCTCTTGTGCGTCCCCAGAGCGGGGGCAGCCGGGGGAGCACCCCCCGTGCATTCACCTGCTCTCCGTGGCCGGGGGTCGTGGCCTCCGTTCTAGAACACCCATGGAGGCCCCGTGTTCTAGAACCACCCCTCAGGGTTCCATTGACCCGGGGGGGGGGGAGACACAGGTGTGAGCTCAGATTCCCACCCTGCCCCCACTGCAAACAGGGGTGATTTCAGATGGAGCCAGGCCGCAGTGCGACCCAAGGATCTCTCGGTGCCAACGGGCAGAGGGCACGGGGGGTGCTGGGCGTTTCACGGGGATCCCCTGGCTCCGATCTGTGCCCAATCATTCACTAAGGGGTGGGGTGTTAGGTCGCTCCCAGGAGCCAGGAGCCCTCTGCTGGTAGATCTATAGATTCCAGGGCCTTTGTGATTTGAGTCCGAGCTCCTGTCCGTCAGGCCAGAGACCTTCCCCACAATACTTCCCGGAGCAGATCGTTTACTAACACACTCTGCAGCTCCCCCTGGGGGCAGGGATCCCCCCTCCCTCAGCCCCGAACCTCCAGCGGCTGCTGCTCTCCCTTGGCTGGGGAACCCCAGTGACTCTGTCCTGATCCCCTTGCAGGCGTCCCCTCTGCTGGGCCCAGGGCTGAGGGCAGAGCCTGGCTCTGAGCGTCCCATTGGGGCCAAGACTCCCTGAGGGTCCAGCGGGGTGTGGGGCTGGGAGCGGGGACGCCGAGCCGGGCCCCTCACCTGCTACCACCAGCTCCACGGGGTCACTGGGCTCTGACTAGACAGGCGGGTCCCACTTGGTGCTATATTGGCAGCTGTAGTTCCCTGCGTCTCCCTGGCTCACACTGCGGATGGGAAACGCAGCCACGTCCCCCACGGGGTCCGTCATGCACCGTGCATCCGGGTCTCCAGCTTTACTCAGAAGGACCCTCACTCCACGACACCGACACTCACACCGGACGGTCACGGCTCCCCCCGGAGCGACCCCCCCCCCAGTGAGGTGCAGGGAGATGTTGGGTTTGGGGTAGCTGGGCTCTGCAGGCAGGAGGAGACAGGCCATGAGATACAGATCCCGGCACAGTCACTGCGCCCCGTCCCCACAGCCTGTCCCCAGTGACGAGGCCGATACAGGGGACTGCAGGGAGAGTCTCCTGGATGCTTTTCCCCCGAATCCAAGACCGGGAGAGCTGAGCTAGTGACACAAGAGACACAGGGGCCCCCACCCCTCAGCAGGGCAATGGCACGGATCCATCTGCAAGGAGCCCATGGAGGGGTGGCGGGGGCAGGGCAAGGAGAGGCCGAGGGGACCTAGAGGCCAATTGCGTTTTATCTCCATCAGCTGGGGAAGGAGAAATCAGTTCAGTGGGGAATGATCACAAGTGAATCAGAGTTCGCTGGTGTAGCAGGAACTGCTGGGTAGGGTCACACTGGGAACTATTGCTGAGCTCACCTGAATTAAAATGCTGCGTTTAACAATCTTCATTTAAATGACAGAAGCACAGAAACAGTTTCCTTCCCTTGTCAAAGCTGTTTTTAAACTTTCCCTTGATTTTGTAGAACTTTGTTTAACACAGAACTGTTCTGTTTTGGCTTTTTATTTTGGTCTCTTCTGGTGCCTGATTGTGCACTTCCAGTTCCCGATGAGGTGTGTGGTTGACCGATCAGTTAGTAACTCTGAGGCCTTGGCTACACTTGCGAATTATAGCGCTGTAAAGCCGCCCCCAGCGCTGTAACTCACTCCCCGTCCACACTGGCAGGGCATTTGCAGCGCTGTATCTCCGTGGTTGCAGCGCTGCATGTACTCCACCTCCCCGAGAGGAATAGCGAGTATTGTGCTGCCGCTGCAGTGCTGCGGCGCCAGTGTGGCCGCCCAATGCGCTGTGAATGGCCTCCAGAATTATTCGGCAGTATCCCACGATGCCTGTTCTAGCCACTCTGGTCATCAGTTCAAACTCTACTGCCCTGGCCTCAGGTAACCAACCATGTGACCCACCCTTTACATTCCCCAGGAATTTTAAAAATCCCCTTCCTGTTTGCTCAGCCCGGCGTGGTGTGGAGTGCTCTCAGCGAATCTTTCCAGGTGACCATGCCTCCACGCGCCAAGCGAGCCCCAGCATGGAGCAATGGCAAGTTAAACTCATAGACTCTAAGGTCAGAAGGGACCATTATGATCATCTAGTCTGACCTCCCGCATGATGCGGGCCACAAAACCTGACCCACCCACTCCTGGAAGAATTCTCTCCCTTGACTTAGCTGTTGAACTCCCCAAATCATTATTTAAAGACTTCTAGTCGCTCAGAATCCTCCAGCAAGCGACCCCTGCCCCATGCTGCAGAGGAAGGCGAAAAACCTCCAGGGCCTCTGCCAATCTACCCCGGAGGAAAATTCCTTCCCGACCCCAAATATGGCGATCAGCTGAACCCCGAGCATGCGGGCAAGATTCTCTAGCCAGACCATCTGGAAAAGTTCTCTGTAGTAACTTTTAATATCCCATCATTGACCATTGTTATAGACCTATTGACTAAAATCACTGTATCCCATCAAACCATCCCCTCCATTAACTTATCAAGCTTGATCTTAAAGCCAGAGAGGTCTTTCGCCCCCACTGTTTCCCTCGGAAGGCTGTTCCAAAATTTCACCCGTCTGATGGTTAGAAACCTTCGTCTAATTTCAAGACTAAACTTCCCGATGGCCAGTTTATATCCATTCGTTCTCGTGTCCACATTAGTACTGAGCTGAAATAATGGCTGGACCTCATCAGTGTTTGGGGTAGGAAACTGTCCAGTCCCAGCTGCGCTCCAGCCATAGGAATTACGATACCTTCGGGAAGGTATCAAAGGACATGATGGAAAGGGGCCATGACTGGGACGCCCTGCAGTGCAGGATTAAAGTGAAGGAG